GGGTGGGGGAGATTAATCGAACCTGTCTTAATCATAAAATGTTTTCATTATTTATAGAGGAGATGGGGCAATGATAATATTAAATTTTTTTCTCTTGTTTGGAAGGGGATTGCATAATGATATTTCTATTTTTTGTACATGTATAGGCTTGTCATTTAGCTGCTTTTTGACTCAATCGACTAAGTTTAGTTGGCTTTGGGTCGAAAAGGTCAGCTCATTTGACTGCACTTGATCGATATGGGTCGATCGACTGATCTATCCTGATTTTCAATCCTTAATCTCTAGTGAGAAGCCTTTGGGGTGTATGTGGGATGGTTGGAGATACTATGGAGTTGGATCTTCCCTTCGTTCAACTCTACTAGAGGGTAGACTATTGTATCTGATCAACTTTCTTGCGATGGTTGGATCGAATGCTCTTTTCTCTCATTTTTTGCTCAAATGGTTCTTGCTCGAGTCATCTAGTCCTCTTTTAGTCTGTCTCGTGGGCCGATCAGTTTTGGCCTTGTTGACTTTGCTCACATGAATTTGTTCGGTCGGTCAAGTAGGTCTCACAATCTCTTGGTTGTGGGTCAGCCTTCATTATACTCTTCATTTTATGTACCGTTGGATTTCTTTAAGTTTAGTGTTGACACATTTTTTATGTATAATTTTAATATTATATTCATCTTAAAATAAAATTAAATTTTTTTCAATTCAAAAATTATGTTGCCAACAAATAAATATATATTTTTAAATGAAAAAAATTCATATTTCTATTTTTTTTATGCCAAGATCAATTCATGTATTCTCATGTGGGTCCCCTCCATGGGTTTATTTTTTCCTGTCCTTCATTTATCTTGAATTTAATTTATGGGTCCCGTAAAAAGAAAATAATGCACGCCAAAGGACACCAGTCAATTTTTCGCTCAGCCTCTGGTAGATTTACATCAAAATTTTTATTTTCACATTGTCACTTGTAGCGGTAATGAGTCCAATATTTCTACTGTCATTATAACTGTAAAATCCTAAACCCAAAGTTGAACTGAAAGAAGGATGAATTTAGGGTTCAATCTTTCAATTTCTATTGAATTGAAAGAAGAAATAATTGATATAAAAATTATTCAAATCATTTTAATATTATTTAAATAACATAATAATGATAGTTTCATTATTTCTATCTATAAGAAAATCATTTAATTCTTTAATTCAATATATAAAAATTATTCAAATCATTTTAATTTTGAAGATAAATCAAATTGGTCAGAGCACCAGTTCATGGTTGAATCGGTCAGGCGAACAGTTTCTTTACAGTCTCTTAAATTGTGCATCAGATAAAAAAAAATACTTCAAATTTAATAATCCTAATAAATTAATTACTTGTTGAGACTTTATTATAATAACCCGACTTTCATCAAAATCCAACATAATGTTAGGATATATGCGCCTAGTAGAGGCATGATTATCAAGTTGTTTGCCAATCACAATGTAATAACCAATGAAATAGACAAATATGGCGTGCCTAAACATTTTCAAACATTTAAATGCATATTAATAAGAAAATGAAAAGTAATTAAGTATTGTATACCTACATATATATATATATATATATATATTTTTTTTT